GTCCTCAACAGCCCACTCATTTGATTTTATTCAACCAACTAATTTCCAAAATCAGAATAGAAATCTTCGAAATGCTAATAATATTTTTATTTTTTATTCATTCAGGTATAAAAGAATATACAAACTGCAGCCAAATGGTGAAATGAATGTATTTACAAAAATAGAATATATTAAAAAATGCAAGAATATTAAATGTATTAAATTGTATATATACAAAATTACAACAAAGAAAGGACAAAACATTATACAGAAAAAAAATCACATTAAAAAATTACTAGACTCAATAATAACACCAAAAAATTACATTAATGACAATCGATATATAGAAAAATTTAAATATATAAAAATGTGAATTTTTCAAATTATTAAACTTTTCAATACACCAAAAATCTAAACAGTTTTTCAATAGTTCAACACCATTATTATACCAGATTATTTAATGAACCTTGATTTATGTTAGCCTTGGTAGCTTATGATTGCTACCCTCTTCACCGACTATTGCTGTTGTTTGGGATGTCTAGCTTTTTTGCTTATATATATATGTGACATTTTTATGTACTGAATTTGTGTTTTTTGTTTTGTTTTAATATTTTCCATATTAATATAGGCTGTTTTTTCCCCTTTTTAAAGGTTTTTATAGTATTTTGAAAGTGTTAGACTCACATACAATTTGGCCTTAGGGCCACGACTTGCGACCCATCTTAATGTAAGTTGATCCTTGAATAAAAGTGAAATGAAAATGAACGAGACCATGCTAGTCTCTGGTGAACTCCTAGAGATTAAGTGTGGCTACTCACCCAACAATATAATCCGTAGTTTTTCCGTCTTTGATTATTGCAATTGTTGGCAGAGTCTTGATCCGGAGTCTCTCCGCAAGGAATGGTGCTTTTTCAGCATTGATCTTCAGAAACCTAGTCTCTATATGTTTCGGAGCTAGGATGGAAAGATGTTTATCAATTATTTTACACCTAAATGTGCTGTCCCGATAAAAATGACATAAAGCTTTAGCACTTTTTTTGCACTCTGTAAAGAACTCTTTTTCTCCTGGCACTTCAGTGTAAATGCCGTGTCCATTCGCTAGCCAAGTTTTGCTCTGTTCCTCGAGTTTCTTCATTCCTTCTAATCGACGTCTACGTATACTCTCCAGGTCGTCTTGGTCCAGGTGGTCGATCCTTTCGATCTCTGCATCGACTTGACTTTCTATTATTTTTGTGGCTTCTAAAACCTGTTGCTGCACAACAGGATTCATGTTGTAGTTATATATCTGTGGACATAAATAACAATATCGTGACAGCAAATTAAGGAGTAGGAATATATTTAGCCACATCTTATTTTGATATTTATATCTTTAAACTTATTTTTTCATTGTGATGCACATAGAGATCATGACAATATGCGCCTTGTAAGTCGACCATTATTATTATTATTATCACCAATTATTGTAAATTTACTGTAAAGTTTTTTAATTGCGCAGATAATACCTCAAAAACCATCTCAAATTGTGCAGAATATCACTAGAAAATACTGTAGATGCACTGATCTGTAAATACTGACTATTACATTGTTTATATATTAAGTCTTAAGATTAGGTCAAAGCCTAATTTTCAGCAAAAATCTGCATGGAAATCGGCCCTTATTTTCCAAAATGTGCAGACAAATTTCTAGGCCAAATTTTTTAGCACAGGATTTCTAGTGCAGGACTAATATTATATCAGTCTGCACCTACCTAAATTGTGCATCTATTTGAAGGTACTGTACTACTAGGCCTAGCACAAAATAAAAGGCGCATCACTGTTATTGCCCGGATTGGTACAACCACAGTAGCTAGCCCCATGTTTGTGGGTATAAATCATGTGGAGAGGGGTTGGGGAGTAGCCTATGCCTAGTAGAAGCAGATGGAGAGGGGCTGAAGTGGAGGGTTGGGTTGTTGTGATTGTAATCTTTTTATTGTTGTTGGCTAAAAATAGGCCAACAAGAATTTGTTTTAATTATTATTTATTACTACTTCTTTTATTAATTAAATTCCTAAGTCAAACAAACATACATGAAATGAGTTTGATCTAGGCCTAATCTTAATATACTTAAGCTTAGCATTGGCCAAGAGTGACTATGATGACGATCAGCAGTTTAGGCTAGGCCTACTTTACTTAATTAGGCTAGGCCTACTATCAAGCACTTTCTGTGACGTTGAATGAAGGCTTGCAATATCAAATCAAACAATAGCTAGAGCTGCGCTGCGATAGATAGCAACAAGCATGCAGGGCCTAGGCTAGTTCATAGTCTAGCTAGGCCTAAACATTGCTGTCACAGCACTACTGACTGTAGCTGCTGTCTCTTATACACATCTAAACTGCAGACATTTCCAGAAGGGTTTAATATTTGCAATTGTCTCTAAGATACTTTCCACAGCACTGCAAGAAACAAAAAATTATCTTTAAAGCTCACAATTAAATATAATTTGTATCTATAACATGACCTGGCAGTGGTGGTGCCAGCAAGGGGAAGGTGGTGGGGGGAGTGTCCCCCGTCGGGGAGAACTCCCCCTCTCCTCACCGTCGGAGACAAAACAAACAATTTGTCTGGGAAAACAAAAATATGTATATGTATTTTCTACATATTGTAGACCCAAAAATCGATTAAATAAACCTTTGATAACCCCAAAACTATCATATTTTTGGGGGGCTTTACCCCCGGAAAAAGTTAAGAGATTTTGAGCGACGTCTGACCACGCCTACTTTCTTTATTCAGGGACCTTGGGTTCCACGTCGGGCAAATACTGCTGGTGCCAATACTGTAACCTATCCCATCTATAACCAACACACATGAAAATGTTATTATTCATAAAAAAAAAATTCTTCAATTGAAGGAATGTCAAGCATTGGTATAAATACACCACATAGTCCAATTAAATACAAACATGTCTTTAATTCTTTTTGCATTTACGTTCATTGTTTGTAAATTATATATTTAAAAATATTGTTCAATATATTTAAATGGGAATTAATAGTAGGAAAAACCAAATGAAAAATTTTGGAAAATAAGGGATAGTTAAAAGATCATTTGAAAATAAAAATCAATAGATATCTTTTTATTTATTTAGTTTTAAGTTTTATTACTATTCTTATCGAATTAAGTTTGGAAATGTAAGGTGATGTATTTGGATTTATACAGCGGTATAGCAACGTATCAAAGCACTCAAAGTGTGCAAGATATTAAAAGGGCTTCGAGCAAAAATGCCTACCGGTACTTGGTTAAACTGGAAATACACTTAAATGCAATTGTATTATCATAAATATCATGTTTATCATTCTTATCAATACATATGTCCCAAATTTCAACCTCGACTTGCTGCTAAAATTAAACATTATGTTTAAATATACAATTTTTAAATCATTTATATTTGATTGGTTGATTATAGGTCACATGACAAAATTAATGGTTCTATTTAATGAACGAAGTACAATGCACCTGTCTCTTATACACATCTAGATGTGTATAAGAGACAGAGTCTTACCTATGCTCCGGAACTGCAAGTTTGATTTCTGCCATCATGTTGGCTAATGTGCTTACAGGCTCTGGATTCATATCACTACCAGATGTGGGCTTCTCCTCTGAAAAATTTGCATCATCTTTGATAGACCCTTAAAAATATATATAAATGAAAACCAAATGTATGAAAATATTATTATAGAGACAGTAACTGCACCCATGCTTAAATTTATAGTGAGCCAATAATCATCATGATAGCTGAAAATGTCAACATACTTCATGTCACATCTATGTAAACATATGTTCAGATGCCTACAGTGACATCAAATTGTATGTATATGCAAAAAAATGTTCTGATATATTTAAAAATGCATGTGTTTTTTTCTTCTATAAAAAAACCTATAAAATAAATAAATTTATTTTTTCATTGTGATGCGCATAGAGATCATGAAAATATGCGCCTGGTAAGTCGACCATTATTATTATTATTATCACCAATTATTGTAAATTTTTTTGTAAAAAGTTTTTTAATTGCGCAGATAATACCTCAAAAACCATCTCAAATTGTGCAGAATATCACTAGAAAATACTGTACATGCGCTGATCTGTAAATACTGACTATTACATTGTTTATATATTAAGATAGGTCAAAGCCTAATTTTCAGCAAAAATCTACACGGAAATCGGCCCTTATTTTCCAAAATGTGCAGACAAATTTCTAGGCCAAATTTTTTAGTGGAGGATTGGATATATTTCTAGTGCAGGCCTTATATTATATCAGTCTGTACCTACCTAAATTGTGCATTTATTTGAAGGTACTACGTACTACTAGGCCTAGCACAAAATAAAAGGCGCACCACTGTTATTGCCCGGATTGGTACAACCACAGTAGCTAGCCCTATGTTTGTGGGTATAAATTATATGGAGAGGGGTTGGGGAGTAGCCTATGCCTAGTAGAAGCAGATGGATGGAGAGGGGCTGAAGTGGAGGGTTGGGTTGTTGTGATTGTAATCTTTTTATTGTTGTTGGCTAAAAAAAAGCCAACAAGAATTTGTTTTAATTATTATTTATTACTACTTCTTTTATTAATTAAATTCCTAAGTCAAACATACATGAAATGAGTTTGATCTAGGCCTAGGCCTAATCTTAATATACTTAAGCTTAGCATTGGCCAAGAGTGACTACGATGACGACAGCAGTTTAGGCTAGGCCTACTTTACTTAATTAGGCTAGGCCTACTATCAAGCATTTGAAGGCTTGCAATATCAAATCAAATACAGTAGCTAGAGCTCCGCTGTGATAGATAGCAACAAGCATGCAGGGCCTAGGCTAGGTCTAGTTCAGTTAGCTGTCGCAGCACTACTACTAGGCCTACATTGATACACACCTGACATTAGTACAAGCCTAAATAAATCAATACTACTATGTGAACATAGGTTTCAATGGCATTAAATAATTATTACCTGATTATATAATTAAATTCAATTTAGCAGACAGAACAAGAGTAACCAACTGTTTGGAATTCCAGATAAACCAGCTTCTTCAGTAAGCTATGCATATTCATTTTGGTTGGGCGGTAACGCACAAGGATGCCATTTTCATTGGACAAAAACACAACATCAAAGATACTATATATATATCTTGTATTTCTAGTATCTTTGACAACATACTCAAGAGGTAAGACCAAAACAAGTTTGGCTGAGGTATCTGCAATAGCGTCCCAAAATATGATTCTACAGTTAGTCGGCTTATTATTTTTTGGCAAACACATTTTTCTTCCAAGATGAAACCTAAACTACTTGTACTATTAATAATAATAATTAAAAAAACCCCTAACATCTGGTATGAGAGAAGGGTGCTATATGCCGATACCAATAACTGTAACGTGGTATTTGTAAAGCGTGAAAACCCTAAAATATTATAATTAGAAAATCAGAATTTTATTTTCGTAAGAATGATAAATTTGTGAATGGATTAGTGTCTTGTGAATTTGGGGAAACTAGAATAAACGCAAACGAAAATATAACGATTGCATACGTTGACATAATTAGAGACATAAAATTGATTCAACACGAATATTTCTGACACGCTTGTGTCCATCCTCCAAATATTCGTGTTGAATAAATTTCTATTATGTCAACCTACGCAATCGTTGTATTTTCGTTTGCGTTTATTCTTGTATATTTCTGTGAGACATACGTGGATCATATATATATATATATAATTTTGGCCTTCCTGTTTACTTG